CGGCGGCGGAGGCAAGCCGGCGGTGAAGTCGTAGACGCCCAACAACGGCGGCATAATAGGCCAGCCGTGTAGGCGGAGACACCAGTCGGCGGCGGCGAAGGCGGCAAGCGATACTTGGTAATCTTGATGCGAGATGCATGTGCGTAGATATAGTCCCTGCCTTGAAATACAAGATGAATCTTGGTGACTTGGGAAAATTCAACCATTGCCTTCATGGTCTTGGTGATGATGATTTTGCTCTGTATATGCTTGACGCTAAATTGTAGATTAATCTATCTGGGCAGAGCAGTATTGATCCATGTGCATGCATAGCTGTATTTAGGCCGACGGCTTCCTCTGATTGGTCGGCTGGTTTCCCATGCACACAGAAAGTGCCGGATTGGCTTGTGTGCTTGTTACATGCAATTGCTAATGACGCTGGCTCATGATGATTGCTCCAATCGATTGGCTGCGAGGACAAGTTGACTCGGATTTGGATTAATAATTGGATCTCGTCGGGAAATACGATACCAACAAGAACAGATGCCGGTGGCTGAGAATTGATACGCATCCCTGAATAGATTAAAACAGATGATGACTGCGGTGCGGCCACCTTCTTCAATGAAACTGATGAACATAGCGGCGGCCGGACGAGATCAAGGTAGTCTTGAACCTTCCCGACTTGATTAGGTCCAAGTGAGAAATCGAGAGCTTTCCAAAGTCGTCGACGAAGAAACCGAAGCAGGAGATTGGTTGTAAAGCGATGACGAATCCGGCAATGCTGAAGGTTAGTTTCCATCGCACTTGTCAATGGGAAACTCAACGCACCCCTACCTGGCGCGCCAACTGTCGAAACATGATTTCGGCAATAATAAAAAGGGGTAGCGCACGAGACCTAAAAGTGGATGGATGTGGAGACAAAGGATTTAGACAGGTTCAGGCCCTCTCAATGAGAGGTAATACCCTACTCCTGTTTGGGGATTTGAATCCGCCGAGTGTGTATTGATCTGACGATCAGGTTGTCTCATGCCCCTAGAGGGGCTCCCTGCCCTCCTTATGTAGGTTGGGGGGCAGGGTTACAAGATAGAAACCTTAACCAATACGGTATCGGTTTCCTAAATCTACTTTACAATCTTATCAAACCAGGACTTTAGGCCGTTCCATAATATACAGGGAAACGTAATACCCAAGTCATGATCTGTTACATATTTCATATATATAAGTTATCCCCTATAACTAGTCGGATAACCATGCCGTGTGGGTATGGGGTACCCATAATCTCCACAATTGGTGTTACATTAATAAATTATAGGAGTTAGGAGGGGATAATTGCGGCCAGTCATAGTATGAAAAATGTATGCTTTGTGGTGTCGCAAGAAACAAACCTTGATACCTCTTGGTTGGTGATCAGAACATCTACAAATAGGCTCTAAGATCATTGGCCTTTTTTTTTAGAATGATTGTTAACATCACTTAGGTGATGGTACGTTTGTTGCTTCCAAAATTATGCACGACTTTTTCAAGGAAGTCTCAGATGACAATCTCATTCTTGACCCCATAAATTATTTATGCTTTCACGAGACACTCAGTCGGTGAAGGAAAAAAGGATGAACCAAATCGGTGCCAGGAGCGGGAGACGGCGGCGACATTGACCCCTTGGCTCCTAACAGCGGGAGCCGATCATCCGCCAGATCTGAGCGCTGGACGGTGGTGCTCAAGTGGAGAGGTAGGCTAGAGCTGGCCATCCCAGCGCCGATAAGGACGACGACGTGACATGCCGGCCTATACAATCGCAATGGCGGCGGTCGCCGCCGTCACCGTGCACGATGAGGAGGAATCATCCACCTTCTCTATCCTAAGTAGTAGGGAGGTGGGAACACTACTACAGAAAAGTACTAGTCCGCAGGGCATGCAAAACGGAGCGACTCATTAACACGTAATTAATTAAGTATTAGTTATTTTTTTAAAAAAATAGATTAATATGATTTTTTAAGCAATTTTTGTATAGAATATTGTTGTAAAAAATGCATCGTTTATCAGTTTGGGAAATGTGCGAAAAAAAGAAGAAGAGTGAGTTAGAAAAACAAAGCAATGAGTACAGCCTTAGAAAACCAGCACAGCCGGTCAACCGAGCCGGTGGGGCGTTCTTATCTCTCCATCCCAATCTATCTCAGTGCGCATAGCTGTTGGTATTTCTTAGCAACGCTACTGGAAATATAATTCCCAGCAATGGCACGAGAAATAATTCTGATATATTATGGTTACAGATGTGATCTGCAAGCGCACGGATATACCATTGTAGCATTTCACCCGGGAGTATTCCAAGGTATCGTATTTATTTTATCCCAAGAGAAGATATGATAAGAGAGTACTATGCTAATAGTTTATATATTGCTTATATACGTCAAAGTCTATGAAGGGGTTAGTTCAGTTCAAAGGGTAGGTTGACACACAGAAGAAAGAACTAAGAACTACTCTCACTAAAATATAGTCTAAGCTAAGTGGAGAAAGAATAAGAAAATAACATTCCTGCACTTCTAGTATACATACATCTTTAGTCTGTACTTGCTATTATACAGTCATGCAACCAATACCACGTACCCAGTGTCCTCCTGGTGTTTCGAGAAGCCACCCCTGACTGCCGAGTTCCTTACGACAGCCCGTCATTACCATACAACTGGGGCTAAATACAGAGGAGTACCCTCCCCAGGGAATTAACATAGGATTATATACCGGCGCGGAGGAATACCCATACTGAGCTGTCACCATCAGCGGCCCACCTCTTGTCCGCAATATATAATCCTAATTAATGGTATCTAATAATCTAAGTACCGTGCTTACATTACTAAATACTACTCTACATCCTTGCAACCGACATAGAGCAACCGAATAATCGGACACTAAACCCACACCAATACACCTATCTGGAAAGCTAGTTACGCGACTATATTGATTCAAGTATAAAGTAAAGTCGGTACTCAAGTAATATGAATGGAATAAAATACTGAACTTGTATAAAGAAGAATATTCTATTAATTCATTAAGTCCTAAAAAAAAAGAAAGGAAAGCTACTAGAGCCATACTCGAATTCTCCTAAAGACTCGAGGACTATGAAGACTATTCTATTTCCTACTCTACTAATACTAGAACTACTAAACAATACTTGAGAGAGCTCTTGATCTTCTCCTTGAGGTGTGCATTGGAGAAGAGAGTGTGCATCTCCTTATATAGGTAGGTATGACGGTTGTAGAGTATGGGAATTGTCGGAAATGCCCCGCAACCACCATCAGGAGTTCATCCGGAGCATCCACGCCAAACCCCAGCCTGAACGGCTGTGATGGAAGTTCAGCCGAACCATGATCTGGCCCAAACGGCCCAATTTTTGGCAAGGCGACTCCTCGTTTGCTCCTCAATCCAAAACATGAAATTTTGGCCTTTCTGAGTTCTCAGCCCATCTATCCATAAGTCTGGATCTCGACAGCCTCTGATTGATTGATCGTCTATTTTGTTGTCGATTCTCCTCCATTTATATGTGCTTCTCCTACATAGATGTTAGTAGCATACTATATAGTGGAAGTATATATTTTATTTGGAATTTATGCATTGCAAGTATAGCCAGTCTTCATACATTGGGTAATATTAACGGTCAAAACTGGTCGATAACGACCGTCAACAATAGCTTCAGATAGGGTCTACCATCAATTTTTTTAGGTGGGTCCCACCATAAAAAATCAGAAAAATCGCTCTAGTTCCACAGCTCCTTCGTCGTTCTCTCCGTCCTCCTCCCACGGGACCGACTCCCCCCGCCCTCCTCCTCTGCGTCCTCTCGCACGGTGGCGTATGGCGACGACTACTCTGCCCCATCCTCACCTTCCACCGGCGGTGCAAGGCGGCGGACCATGCCGTGCTCCATGCCGGTGTGGCAGCAGCGACATCACCACCGCTGCCTCACCCCCTGCCTTCCCTCCCCATCCTTCCTTCCTTTGCGCAGCCAGCCTCTCCCCGCTAGCTCTGACGGGCGGCAGTGGCACGGCGCCCGTGCCCAGCCGGATTTACCGCCACAGCAAGCCCCATTGCCGGCGGGCGGGGTGGGGGGAGAACAAAGGGGGAGGGCGGTGTCGGGGGGGGGAGGAAGGCGGATGATGAAGGCCATGATGGTGCCGCATTTGTCGGGCCTCCGCCGCTCCTTCACCCGCACCTATCGCGGTTATCGTCATCTGTCACGCCGTCTCCTCGACCGCCAGATCCGGCCGCGCGGCGCCGGAGATGAGGCCACCACGTGGCCTGCCCTAGCGCCGACACGTACGATCGCCGAGACGGGGCGTGTCCTGGGGGGAGGGGGCTTGCTCCCACCGCCGCCGTCCCGGCATGCCCCGTGGTTTCCGTCGGCGGAGGTAGCCCTGCGCCACGGCTGCCTCGCTTCCTCGCCGGTGCTGGCACGGGGAGAGTGTGGCAGCGTCGCTGAGGATGGGTGTGCGGAGGCGCAGGGAGGCGGCGTTGTGTTGGGGGTGGGGAGGAGGGGTGTTGTGGCGGCGACGCACGGAGGAGGAGCACCAGCGGCGAGCCGCGGGTAGGGAGGCGGATGGCGGCGGCGGCGGCGGCGGCAACCCGGAACCGGCGGCGGCGCGGGTCGCGGGTGGGTAGGAGGTGGTGAACGGTGGGTTAGGGTTTGGATGGGGGCATATGTGGCATGTTTTTCAGAAAAGTCCCTTCTTTTTCTATGTTTACAGCGCTACCCCTAGAAACGGAATTTTCTCTTCTTCGTGTTGTATTTGTACGGAAGACGAAGGGTTTTTCGGATAAAACACAACGTGGTGTCAGGTGGTTCAAGGACGCGAGCGTAATTCCGTGCAAAAACGAGGAGCTTTTTGTAAAAAAAAAAAAGCCAACCACGCTTATCCTCTCTGAGGAGAAAAAAAATTCCAAGAAAAGGAGAAAAATCGTAGCTTTACGGCTTTAAATGATTGATGATTTCTAAGCTGCTATGCATAGTTAAAAAAACAAACAACATACTCTGCCTATGACAAAATTTTACTATTTATGTTTTATATATATATGAACAAATAGCCTGTGCAAGTTGCACGGTGTAACGTATGGGTTATTGACTAGTATTACATAATCCATGACCTGTAATACGCTAACACTACAACAATGGTCAAAACAGACATTGCCATACAGGCACATGGCCTTAAAAAGAAGCAAGGAAAGGGAGCTTTACATTCAATGGTGTGGTTCGCTCATCATCATCAATATATCCTCATTGATCAGCTTCTCATCCGGTGGTGTCATTTACACAAGAACACCAGCCATGGTGAATGGCAATGGTGCCATAACACTATCATATACTGTATATATCTATCTACCACGGCTTCAGGTCTTCCCGGGTCCCCTCGGTCCAGTTGAGCACCTTCTGCCCGGGCTTGAGGAACACATCCCTGCCATGGGGCAGCTTCCTCGCCAGCGCGTTCATCACCTGGTGGAAGCCATCCCCGGGCTCCGCAGGCTGCGGGAACAGCATGGTCTGCTTCATCGACGGCTCCGCGAGCATCGCCTGCTTCCGGAGGATCACCTCCGTTGGTATGGAGGTCAGGATGGTGTCCAGCTGCGGGACATCGTCCTCGGCCACGAACACGGCGATCTCCTCCCACGGGATCGCGTCGGAGAAGGGGAGGACGATGTCGTCTGCGATGATCACCGGGATGCAGCCGAACACCACGGCCTCCACCAGACGAGGGCTCCATGGCGCCCAGCCCAGCGGGCACAGGCAGAAGACTGCACGCTGCATGTCCTCGTAGTAGGTTTGGGGGTGGTCCGTAGAGATGTCGAACATCGGGTTGTTCTTGAAGTTCTCCCACACCGATGCACGGGCGCCCCTGCATTGCATATGTTAGGCAGGATTCAACATTTTGGTATGAAATTTCAACCACCTTGCCACCCTTCCCCTCACCCAGCAACTTTTTTTTTTTAATTTTGCAAAATTTATTCAAATTTTGTTATCATGTAATTTCAAAATTTGGAGGGCAAAAATATTCCTGAATTTCTGCTACTTCAGATCCATCAATTCCCTTAGGCTTTACACAATATAGAACCTAATGGTAGGTGTATCAAGACTTTCTAATCAATGATTGATTAAGACCTACAGCTTTTCAGCTGCATAATTTAATTAGGTGCATACCTTGCATAGTAACCACCCTCAGGATCATTCGAAGTATCATAGAACAAACCACGGAAGTAGACAAAGATTGACCGAGGAGTCTCTGGTGGAACAAGATGAGCTCTGATCTTGTGAGCAGGAGTATACGGCGGGACTGTGATGGAGCCATCCTTGAGACACGCATGGTTCTTCTGCCCAAACGTCTGCACCAGCGTAGCACGGCGCAGCACCGGAAGGATGCCTCGCTCAATAGCCTTCGCCTCCTGAAAAGTAGGAACATGTTGATCTGAATGCACGTTGGATGTACATGATGCTAGAAGCGAATAAACATGAGTAAGGGATAAATAACAGGTGTTGTGTGTGGCTTCGTTACTAGGATGAATTTCCATTCTATGAGTTTGCATATTCCACGTTACATGGGTAATAATACACTCTCTCTCCGTTATAAAATATGAGCATTTGCTGATTGTCTAGCAAAGATCAAGGTTAACGGAAAACTTCTGTTTTTAGTCATTTTATTAGTCAAATTTCAAATTTTGAATTGCTTAAATTCCTATCCCAAGCATCTGATTGGCTGAAAATACATGGATTCCCGCACATTGAAATTATCGCCTTAGAACTACGCATTTTGAATTAAAAATACTTATATTTTTCAAATGGAGGGAGTGTATAGGAGAGGATGATTCATGGTTTATGGCACTATGTATGACCAAGGCCCATACAATTTGAAGATTGAACAAATTTTGACCGAGTTAACACAAATTTTGCTAATCCACAAAAAACTAAAGTTTGCAGTCTAAATAATTTCTTCTCAATGGAGTTCAAAATTACTGAAAATTTTCCGAATCCGAACCTTGTACATGACTCACCTGGAAGTAGAAGCACGCTGCAAAGTCATGTGGCACAACGAAGAAATGATCCGCACCCTCCGTTCTGTTCCAGTAGGGCCAGTACTTGGAGATGAACTTGATCGCACTTCTCATCATGCGTGGAGACTTGGTGGTCAGGGGATGGCCCCATGGCGTGAGGTCGCATGTGGTGTACACTGGAGTGTAGAACCAATCGGCTTCGTCCGGATTCGAAGTCCGGATCGCACTCGACAGCAGGAAGCGATGCATGAAGATCTCTGTGGCAAACATGTGGCTGAGGCATCTGGAATCTTTCGCCACAATGTTCTTGTTGTACTTGGGGGGCAGCTCGTAGACATACACCTTCAGCTTTCCAACAGGATCGTCTTCTCTAGCACATCACCAGCAGCACTTCGTGAATTTTAATCATATCCGCGAGCAAGGAAAGTTAATATAAATGGAGTTAAAACATTGCTGAAAGTGTTCTTTTTAATTCTTCAGTCAAAGCATAATTATTGAAGCTATACTAGCACTTCATCCATCCCAAAATAACTCCATTTTTAAACAATCCGGCCATCCCACACATACCAATAGATATAAAAGAAAAGACTAGAATACCCTCCATTTTATCAAATCCTAATAAAGTTGTATGCTATTTTATCTACTTCGAATACATCTGTTCACTACTTTCACAAATTCTAATAAAATGATTACTTAATGATGAACTTGTTTTTGGACCAATAATTAATGATGAACTTGTTTTTGGATCAATAAGTAAGCAAAGATTATCTAATTTTTGTGGCCGAGGGAGTAGCGAGAAAGCAGGCAAAGAAAAAGTAATGGAACAGCTACGATAGCATAGAAGTCTTGCTACATGGAAAAGAATTAATCAAACTTCATTTATGGTCAGCTGCTCAGCATATTCAAGTCAGGATTATATATATAATATAATCGATTGACGACGCATCACATAGATGAAATAAATAGATTCGATCTCAAGATTTTGGAGCACTCTGTTCAGTGCGATAGCATAGCAGAGAGCACTCGACCGAATCAAATTCCGGCCACCAAAAACGCGACGAGGGGCATAGCACGCGTGTGATTCCTCAGATCTATGCAACAACCGACGGCGCGTAATTAATTGGATTACCGGAGCAACAGACGCACATACCTTTGATCCGCTCGATGCCCTGAGCGGCCGCGGCTGCGACGCCGGAAGAACAGGCGAAGAGAAGAAGCACGGCGAGCGGCATGGCCAGCGGCGGCCGCGCTCGCGCTCGCGCACTCCTCCTCCTCGTCCCCATGAGCTAGACGTCGTCGTCAACGCCTCGATCGGTGTCTGGATCGGGGAGGGAGATGGAGGCTCGAGTTTGGGGGGAGGGAGAGGTAGTAGAGGAGGGAGGTGGTGGGATTATTCTTTACCAGGAGAAGGCATGGGAGAATTCAGAATAGAATAGTTGGGTGACGGTGGTGGTGGTGGTGTTTCTTGCGGGGCTCTCGCTGTCGGCGGAGGAGTTGGTGGTGGCTGGTGGTGGGTGACAACTGACAACATCCTCCCCCTTGTTTTTCCATGATTCAATTTGCATTCCCATGTATAAGTTGTTGCTCCGTCAAAAAAGTTCAGAAACAAAATTCTTAAAAAATCTCTTGATTACAAATAAAATATTATATGATCGATCTTTTTTAATAAAAAATTTAACTGCAGTTAAAGTTAAAAATATTTGACTTAACACTATGCTAAAATTATTTATATTTTAAAACAGATGGAATACTAGTTTACATTTTCGTTTTCAGTGTAAAAACAGTTCATCACCGGTTTATCGGAAACCTACCCAAAATCAATAAACCCGATCGATTTTCATAAGCCAATGACTAACGGTTTAACGTAAACTGAACGGTTTTGTAAATGCTGATACATCTCTGTACCTCACAGATTGCCAAGGCACTCCACTTCATTAATTATATTGACCACACGGTATCCGTACATATGAACGTGATACTAGTATGGCGTCCAACTTGTCCAAGTCATCCGCAAAAGCAAATATTAGTACTGCAGGAGGCAGTGAGGCACCCCACGAAGTAGGTGAAGCAACTGTACGGCTTCCTCGTTTCAAATTCTGTTTAGATGGGACTAAAACTTTTAAAACTTTTAAGTTCCTATCACATCGGATGTTTGAAAATTAATTATAAATATTAAACGTAGACTATTAATAAAACCCATCCATAATCTTGGATTAATTTACGAGACGAATCTAATGAGCCTAATTAATCCATGATTAGCCTATATGATGCTACAGTAAACATTCTCTAATTATAGATTAATTAGGCTTAAAAAATTTGTCTCGTGAATTAGCTTTCATTTATGTAATTAGTTTTGTAAGTAGTCTATATTTAATACTCTAAATTAGTGTCTAAAGACAGGGACTAAAGTTAAGTCCCTAGATCTAAACACCACCTCAGTATTGCTTTTGCTTTGCTTGGGTCATGCATACCATCTTCTTGTTTTCTCCTGGTTGCCGGCCTACTATACATTGACTTTGGATCACTTCCTGTTGTGTTAGGTGGTCGTTTTCGTTGTCTTCTCCAACTAGTTAGGTCACGGTAGGCAAGAAAAAAAATGAACCATACAGAAATGAACGAATCATCCAAAAATAATTTGAGACCTTTTACGGTGTTTGCGAGGTACTTAGAGGTACTTGGAGATAGAATAACGTGCACCGTTGATCAATAGAAGGGTAAGGTATGGAACAAAATTATTGTAACATGATGGCGGTTGAGTAATTAACTCGTAAACTATGGGCACTATATGTGAATTGAATATCTCCATCCATTAATCGATACATCTTCGTAGCAATCGTTATTGATGCAGAAAAAAAAAGTAAATCAGGTATACTCTGTTGGTTTAGCGACTCATTTCTTCTCTCTCTTTGCTTCATTCGTGTTCTAGGGTTTAAACCGGTTCACAACCATCATCGCTCGCCCCGTCGTAGCTGCCGACGGCAGCGGCGGAGGTGCTAGTGCGGCGAAAACCACCTCTGCTACCACCTGCATCACTCCCATCGCCACCGCCTATCGTCTTCATCCTGGCCCTGTCGTCGCCGCCGCCACTGACAGTGCCAAGTGCCGGTGCGGCAGTGGCACCTGTGTCTCTCCCATCGCCGGTGCCAGTGAGGGCCCGCTACCATCTTCCTCTTCTCCAAGTTGGATATGGCGCCGACGACCAGATCGATCGATCGATCGACATGTAACGCTAGTGTCGGGTAAATGACTTAACTCGAACACAACGTAAATCTAGTGGAAACCACGCAAAAAAGAAAACGATGTAAATAAGAACATGTAAACTGGTACTAGTAGATGTTAACTCGTATTGTCGTACCTACGCGGTATTTATTATAATTTAGGGGGACAATTATACCCTTTTCATTATACTAGCAAAATTATGTTTTTACCCTTAATACCTAAGTACCTATACTAATACTTAAATACCTTTTATACAGTGCCTGTGATTGAGAACCGTTGGATCATTACCCTTTTTAAAATGCAAACACCGTAAAAGTTCTCAAATAATTTACGGGTGAAACTGGTACAAAATGATGTTTTACAATCTTTTTTTTTTACAGCTGATAAAAAGCCAATAAGCATACAACCGAATATTGTTTTTGCAATGCGCAATAGACGATTCAGTACCTGCTTTTTTATTGTCATATTGCTTGTTTCGCTTGGCGATACATATTCTTTTCTTTTAGTATCCTCCTCCTCAAAGCGTCAAAAATATTTTTAGGGGAAGCAACGAACGGAAAGAGACCTGGCCCTCGTGCCGCTCAGCCCTAGAGTTGCATGGGCGGAGACCAGGCGAGCACGCCATCGCCAACCTCTCCACCCCCTCCTCCCCTCCACCTCATCGCCGCTCAAGCGGCCGCCCGCAAAGCCGGGGGTTCGCAAGGACAACGGCGGCTGGGATCCCTACCTCCTCTCGTAGGCATGGTGGCCTAGGGCGCTGCCATGACCGGACGGAGGACTTGCAGGTGCGGCGGTCGCCGGTGGCCAGATTCGACGTCGATGGGACTGGATCCGGTCCCCGCACGGCCAGATCTGGCGCCTTAGCCGGTGGTTCCAGGCGGTGGCGACGGGAAGGAGGCGCGGCGCCCAATGAGGAGCGCGGAAGAGGCGGCGGACATGGCGACGTGCGAGGAGGATGGTGGTGACGTCTACAAGCGGCGACGTCTGCGGGGGCCGACGTGGGGAGTGTGAAAGGAGGCACGCAGAGGCGACGGCGCGCAGTTGGGGGCACGAAGCCGCCCCAACGCGACAACGACAGCCCTCACACACGTTGGCGGCGCAGTAGGGCGAGCCTGCCTGAGCTGTGTGTGGTGGGCTATGCTTGGAGGCTAGAGGGACGATGTGGTTGTCCGGCGATGTACGTTGTGTAGGTGGGTTGTGTGGTTTTGGATGAAAATTGCTCGCGAAAGCCTTGGCTAGCCTTTGGTTGGCTTGACGACGACGGCGCCCTTAGGTGTCGATCCCCTCCTTGGATGCGTCGTTATGGCGTCTTTTCTCCCCCACTACCAAGAACCTTGTCCGTGCAACGATAGTCGTTCGTGGACTTCTGCGTTGAAGCTCTATAAGCCTAGCTGTTCGGCGAGGCCTTCGCCTCCTGGGTTCCATTCTTGGATGCGGCGAGCGTCCAGCTTTCTTCGTTTTCTAGTAGGTGAAGTCGGAGCTGCTTCGTTGGGTGCGATGAAGCTTGGCAATGATAACACATGGTAGTCTTCGAGGGGTGCTGGTGTTAGCTATGTACAAGAAGTGGTGATCTGACGGCTTGAGCTAATGTTCAAAGTGGACAATCGGTGCCTTGCTCGTTTCTGCGATGCCTTCGGTTATGATGATGAGATAGCCGTGGAGCTGGAACTGATGTGTCGCTAGGCGACAAACTCGGCAACGATAACACTTGCCTCGCGAAGTCGAAGCCTTTGTGTCTCTTGCAACAAGCTCTTTATCAATGGATGCTTTGGGCTCCGCTTTGTCCTTTGTTTCATGGTCTTAGTAGCTTAGGTTAGTTAAGTGTGTTGTAGGTGTGGTTTTCGCTCAATTTCTCCTAATTAAATGTGCATTGGAAGGTTTGGTTCCGTTTTCTTCTTAAAATATGACACATTCTTCTTTATATAAAATGTTGGCAACAACCTGACCGTTTGTAAAAAAAAAAATTAGTAGTTGGCTCGAGGAGTGCTTAGATTTATGAAAAATAATAATTTTGTTTAGAGATAGTGCACTTTATTGGTCAATTTGATGTTGCATAAATGATAAAGTATTTGATAACAAGAAAAATGTCTAACCATATACATGTTATTTTCATGTATTCTAGATGGCTCTAATATATGATGCTACCACAGGAGAAGCAGGATATTATGCGCAATGGTGCTACACTCTTAGAACCAATTGCCAAGGGCACTTTATTATTTTAGCATATATCAGCTTAATTGTTAGAATCTACGTGATTCTTTTACCATGTCAGCTGTTTATGTTTCTTAAGGGTAGCTGGGGATTTGTCGCACTACTCCTTTTATTTATTTCAGTAAATAATTGGTCGTATGGCTTATGGTAGAGGCCGGGATGTAATATAATTCTATAATTAAAAGAAAATCATAACATTGACTCTACTAATTGTTCACAACTCGCTGAATATTTTTATGACCATGAGCGAATTTGAACTTCAAATTTTGCGTGAATTCAAATTTCAGGAAAAGAAAAAACTTGGGAGCATATGGTTCTTGACAGATTCCCACCATTTCCAATGTATTTGGAATTTAGGAACACGGCACTTAACCCAACAGGCAACCTTATTAATTTCGAGATATATTTCTGGACCACGATTATTTTCTGATCATTCAGTTCGTGACATCCCAACCAATTAGTGCAGGTGCAGTGTGCAATAGCTCAGTAATACCAGCTCATGACCTCTTGGGCACAAAAAGACGCTGATGTTAACCTCATTTTTCTTTTTCCTTACCTAACTAGCACCCAATTTACACCAACAACCACCAATCTTTCTCTAGGTAATGCTCTCACATCACATGCGCAATTTTGTCCAACATTCCTTGCAAACTCAGCAACATCGATCATATTCAGTTAAACTGTTGACCTGAAACGACATGCTGCCTGATAAATAATTTAATCAGACTGGCTCCCCTATGATCTTGCTTCAGACGCAGGTTTCACCTTTTTCACCCAACGACTTTTTAGAAGATGCTCAACTATTGCTTACCGAACTGTTTCACCTTTGTGGAAAGAAGATGCTTTTATATGTCCTGTTCATCGCCTTCTTTTTGCAGATAGACGGCGGAGTTGATTGAATATATGAGCTCTCAGCTCAATGAAGCAAGAGCATATTTCCAGTCGCATCGCACTAATCTCTCTGCTTCATAGTGTAAGTTGTTAAGTTCATCGAAGGTCAAACGTTTAA